GCGGTGTTTTTTTGGGGGGGGGTTTGTAAACCCGGGGCCGGCCCCCCGGGGGGGGGGGGTACAAATGGAGACAACACCAAACCCCCCCCCCCCCCCCCGGAGGCTCTGCCCAAGCACTGTGGTCATAAAATTTCAGTTGAAACTGTGTCCTTTGGTAAATCTTTCGGTTATTCTTTGAAACTACATGGTGGCATTTTGGCTGGGTATTGTGACAAAATTTGACTCCAAAGGCATCTTTGATTTTATACAGAAATCTAACTGGTGTCACCAAATTATCAGATAAGTAATACAAGAAAATGTTTTAATAGTCTGTAAATAAGATTATTATTGACATATTATTGACCTTATTTTTGACAGAGAGACCAAATAACCAGATTTGTACACTCCATTTTGTGGATAATGATCATGTGAATTGTAATTTTTTTTTTTACGTAAAATTACCATTCATGTGATCAAGTATCCAAGATGGTGAATCAAAATGTAGTGTATGACTCTCATAATTTTATCTCAAAGCCAGGCATTATTCATTTATCCACACAGTAAGTAAACTTCTTAATCTGCACCCTGTCCCAAAACCCTTCCCTTTCCAAATATCATTTCTATCAGGCAACTTGGTGATTAGGTTAGTGGGATGAGCTAAAGCGGAATCACCTGTACTTGCTCACGTTTGTTTACGGAAATAATGAGCGTTACTGTCCAAATTTAGCTATAAACAAATTACAAACACCATGAATGTCCTTCTTTGACTATAAACAAAGTAAATAAAAGATAAGAAAGGGTTTTATTGCACACATACTATGGTATATCTAAAATATGTCAAATAAATTAAAAAAGAGTACTGGAAATATCCTCAGCAGTGTCTGTCTCACTGCCCTACTCATGTTTGCATATCTCATATACTACTATCTAGATCATTTAATTCAGATATGCTTGATAAATGCTCTTATGGTAGACTTTGCTGAGGACAAGCCACCTGCCCTCAGATCCCTCAACTTTGTATACAAATATCCCAAACCTACACATGACATGACAGATAAGACATTATCAAATAATACATACTAGTAATGGTAAGGAAAAAAATGTTAACTGTAGAACAAAGAAGTGAATTCCCATGCATGCTGAAAATGAAAGTGAAAGGCACATGCACAAGTCAAATCTAGGTTGTAGTTCTGACCAAGTCTTTACCTTGTCACAGCCAGATAAAAGCCCCCTAAGGAGGCGAGGGAGAGGCTGACGTGGAATACAACTACTGTTGAACCATAATCCTTTACAGCTAGTTTTAGTTTCTGTGCCCCGCTGAGCTGTACCTCTCCTGCTGGCGGTGGTGGGTCAGACTTGGTGCAGTAATGGCGACGCTGGGGAAAAACCAGGGAGGCATAGCCCCTCTTTTGTTGACCAAATTGCTCCTGAAATCAGGATTGTTATGACAAGATATCTTCAGGCAGTCTCTGAATTTTGTCATCTTTAAGTGAAAGGCATCACACCATGAATAAAACTTGACAGGGCAGAATAATTGGTGCTTAGTCAAGGGTTTTGTTACACCTAACAACTAAAGTACATTTACAACAGCCTTTTCTGACTGTCAACTGCCCCCTTACAATTATAATAGCGTAGACAGGTAAAGTACCACCAGTAGAAACATATATAACGAGAGGTGACTGAAAGGCACAGATAACTTAAACCTACATCATCACATATATACATGTATGCCTACTAAAATGTATGAAGAAAATCACAGCTCTATGCCAAAAGCAACTTCCTTACTTTAAATCGTGTAAGATTTTCTGCTTAAAAATGTGCAAAACTACAGTAAGTGTGTGGGTTTTAAAGTAGTATATTTAATTGGTTTACCAGTCAACATCTTGTCAGCCATCAGCAAAGTTTCATTACCTATTTCTATGATGATTTATATATTATTGCCACCCAGGAAGATGTCACAGGCCACTGCTCATTATTATACAAATCATTGACATATTTCACACAGACCCTATATATAGACTGGAGCACATCCCATCCTCACACACTAAAGGTCTATCGAGAGGAATGTGGATTAAGTCTTATCATAGACAATGTGCTTGCATTTTAGGTCATATCTAAAGGAGTATCAGTGGATGGGCAAGTCTTATTTACCATGTAGCAATCTTTTAGAGAGTGTGTGTGTGTGTGTGTGTGTGTGTGTGTGTGTTGAGGAGGGGGGGATATTCCTGATAATATAAAGCTGAAAGCAAATGGTAGGTGTGAATCTCATCACTGAAAATGTGTTGTCATATTAGCATCATTTCTAAAGAGGTAGTGAGAGTAGGTGTTGTTTTCCATGTATCATTATTATTCACCTAGTGAGGAAATCCATAATGCCACGCCTGCTTACACTATGTTATAAAGCTTACAACCGCACCCCAGCATTGAAGCTACTAGTAAGGGAAATTTCAATCACACTCCAGCTTTACCTTGTCTCCATTCTTCTTATAATGAGCAGTGATTTTCCTGATCATCTCATCTTGCTCTGCAATAACCTGTGCCACTGTCTTCCTGCCTTCCTGAATTCCCTGCACCTCCCTATCGCAGTCCTGCAGGCCATACTTGCGGCAGTTCTCCAGCCACAGTTTGAACCTCTCACAGTCGTCTCCCTGGACACCCTGGGGGCAGGGGTCCGTGCCGGTCCAATATTTCGGTTCAGGGGGTGCACTGGAGTACTGTCGAGCGCTAGTGTGGTACTTCCGCGACGGGTAGATCTCGTGTAGGTTATCGTAGACGTACTTGTCATTTCGGAGCTGTCCCCCGCCTGGCATGTTCACGTGGGACGGGGAACCGTTGTTGGTGTCAACGGGCTCGGGGACCATAGTCTGCATCACGCAGTGGAGATCAATGTTACTGTGGGCATCGCAGTAGTTGCTGTCCGGAGAGTCGGTATCGGCAGCCGCGGAGGCCGCCGCGTGCGCGTGTACTCTTGCCGTCTCCGGCCCCCCAACCATCATCTCCTCTGTCTCCTTAATGGCATCGTCGATTTGGGACAGGACCTCTAAATCCTGGCAATGGTGAGGTGCAAAAGCGTGCTCAGGTCTCCCGTGCTTTCCTTGAGAGGGTTTATCCTTGATGACTACATGCCCTTGGTCATCCAGAGGGCCTGTCAGTAAGCAAGACGATGTGGAGATGGCTCGGATTCCAGGCAAGTAATATCTGGCTGACCGTAAAGCGAAGGTGCTGCAGATACTTAACATTTTTGGTTCTAAAAAGCTTTGGTTGTTAAGTCACCTTTACAAACTGTGGATATCCAATGCAGTTGTGCTAGTTTACACACACGAAGAGACGCTCGATTGACGGTGAAATTCTACAGCTGAAATGTACGGAAATAACACCAAGAGTGACACAGTTTTATAACTCGCATGCGCACGACACACTGCGCAGGCGCATAGCAATCACTTCGCAAGCACGTGCAACTGTTTGCAAACAACTGCGGGTTTCACGAGGACACTGAAATGAGGACAAGGTGTGAGTAAGCACTTTGCGTGCTCATTTGAAACAGCTCAATGTTTTGAAAATAATTGTTTCTTTGTCCTTCCGTCGTTTGCCCCTTCTTCGAAGCAAATGTGCCCCTTGAATCACGGCCCGATTGAAATAAACAAGCAAAAGAATAAACTCCCTTACTTTTAATAGGCACGTTCACGTTATAATTTTAATGAAGAAGGCACATTTAAACCGCTTGTGTAGGCCTATATTGAATACAACTAAAGTAGAAACAAGAAAATATCCGGCAGAATAAATTTTAATTTCTACACGACAACAAGATAACAGAATGAGTTTAAGATTTTTTAAGTTAAAAAAAAAAGACGACATGCAAGTTAAAATTCCTGTTGAAACCGGGCTAAATCAGTGCAAAGTCAGTTTGTGAAATGTCCTGTCAACATGACCAGGTCTGTAACTCTCTTCTTTTTTAACCATTTTACTTTGTATAATTTAGAAATAAGATATGACATATTTTGCAAAAAATAAATAAATAAAAAATAATAAAAATAATAATAAATAATAATAAAATAATAATAATTGCTTCATTTTCTAAATTAGATGGTGCGCGAACTGTGATGTTTTAACTCCTCCTATAGTTTAGGAGGGTACATGTTGCTATTTGTAGCCTCCCAACCTGCTACCATGTTATCACTAGGACAACTCCACAGATAAATAAAGCATGTAGATATTTTATGATAGTGTTACACGTAGCTGTGTTTCATACAGAAATAACAGAATCATTCCTATATAATTGTGTTCAGAAACTTTATTGTCAAAAGAGGACATAGACCCATGATCGGCTGTCACCTTGATTGGTTAGTAAACGAGCGTCGTAAAATGACCACACATGTATGATTAATAAACCGGGTGCATAAATATAAACCTCATAAAACAACCCTACATTGTCATACTAGTCTACCATATAACCCAAACATAGCGTGATAGGAACGTCTTTTCTCCCACTTTGGAAGTTAAGGCTGCTAGCCGTAAAGGGATGATGAAGAAAATTAGTTTCCGAGAGGAGCGTGCACGGCAAACGACCCGCCCTACTCCAGATCTGCCCATGGCTTTTGAATGCGGTGACTTGAGAGCAGTGGCAGTACCAGGATTATATGACCCTCACCCCCTCCCACCCCTTGGCGTTGGGTTTGGGTCCCGCTGAAGGGCCCCGAAAATTTTTTGCTATTTTAGAGGGCGAACAGTGCCATTTGGCACGGTTTAGAACTATAATTGAGCTAATCGAAAATCAAATCTAATTTCAAGAGGGGACTATTGGTGTGATTTTTTATCGGAAATTAAAGGGGGGGAGGGTCAGGACCCCCCTGACACCCCCTAAATCCGCCACTGAAGAGGAGTCTGTTATGTCTGCTTCGGCTCTGGGAACGACGTCACTGAACACGCATGTCATCATGGTTGTGCACGGAGGAACAACTTTTCTGCAACATATTCTGTTTTTGTTCTCTGCCAGACCTTATGAAGTAATACCTAAAGAAAGAATTGATGGTGAGATGAATAAGCTGGTCGCGATATTGGATATTTAAACTTAAGAGTTTGAAAACCCCAAACCTATCTCCCATATTCGATTTTTTTCTCGAGTTTCAACGTGATATGGTACATTAAGGCTTCGACCTGATAGGTTTGGTCACATCCTTGTAGCACTGAGCACAAAATCAATTTTAAGAGTTTTGGAATTTCTCTTGTTCATTGCTTTCTTAAAAAGATGGTTGATTGTTCTTCTATCCTATTTTCAATCATTTTGATAAATAATTATATAAAATTAATTTCAATTTTCATGTAGTGGTATGAAGTGAAATATTCAAATCTGAGGTTTGTTTTTTTTTCTGTTGTTTGCATATGCATATAGAAAAAAACTGTAGTATTTATCACAAAGCATACATTTTAGATATTCTTGCCTCTTTTTAAGTCTAAATGATCATCAAATAATACAACACTGTATGCAACTAAATTACAACAAAATCACAATATTTCGTTCTGCGTAATATTTTCCTAAGTATATCTATACGCGATTAAAGTAATAGTTGATTATGACTAATAATTCCATTGCATAGGCCCTATACTTACAATATAGCAATTAGAGCTATTGCATACATGCCAACCATTGTCAGGTAGACGGCGCCACGATAGTACATCACAGTGTATTCGTATACGGTAGAAAACAAGACGCCACCGAGCAGAGAGCAAGCACAGTCTATGGAAGCAATACTCGCAAATAAAGTGCCTAGAAAAAGTAATAAAAGGTTTAAACAATGTACGCACAATAAAGCAATACTTTTATTTGCCCTTCAGTGTCCAGGGTCTACAACGGATTTTGGAAGCCTGTTTTCAATTTCACAAAAAATAATTAAAAGTTTTTGACGGCATTAATGATATGCTTCCTATAACTTCCTTTACTTTCACCTCCAGTCAGGATGACAACTGTTACTATGTAATACATGTAACAACAGCTGTATAAGTAAAATCAAAGGATGAATTATTTATACCCTAGGTTCTAGATTCCGGTATTGCCAGCTCGATCTTGATTTCATATATAACCCAAAAGCGACTCCATCACAAGGTATATATTTAACAAGCTAGCTTTTACGTTGCTCTGACACTCAGGGTAACTATTTACAGCAATGAGGCATTTTTGTATTGTTTTCCCATGCGTTACTTTTTGTCCCTCATGAACGCCGAGGGGATCGTTACAGAAAGCAAGGAGCTGAGATTCCCGCCCCACCCCCATGTCTTTACCTTGTTCGTGAGCGGAGACCTGCTTTGACATGACGGCACGCAGCATGGGGACGAGGAGGATCCCAAGAACGCCAAGACCACCGGCTGAAAAAATTGTAGATCTCTATACCTTCTTCTCTCTCTCTCTCTTTCTCTCTCTCCCTCTCTCTTTAAGTGTGTGTGTGTGTGTGTGTGTGTGTGTGTGTGTGTGTGTGTGAGAGAGAGAGAGAGAGAGAGAGAGAGAGAGGCATATTAGAATAATGTTAACAGTGAAGACCTTTTTCATCTACTTCTTAGCATTTTGATTCAATATTTGCGTAATGTTCAGACGTATGATCAAAGCAGAGGGAACATGCCCTCTTAAAAATACATGATGAAAATGTATTTATAAAGAAAAATTTCATTAAAAACGTTGATACAGCATAATTGTCTTCTACGCGAAGAAAAGTATTTCTTCCCACTTACCAACGTACATTTCCCAGTCATGGTTTGCAAATGCAACCATACCCTTCCAAAGTAAAGCGCTCATCGTACCGATCATCATTATCACGGGCTCGGGCATCTTACACCGCTTAAACAGTGGCAGCGTCAACAGCCCAGCCACCTGTTTGGCAACGGAGACCGCCGCGGTATACCATCCAATCTTCGTAGACGTCCAACAGAACGGAAAGTTGAGTTCGTACAAAACGTCTACGGTCGACGTGGCCACGAGGGACATTGTCCCGAAGAGCATAGTGAAGCACAGAGTCCGGATTTTCCAAACCCGTGACGGATCTTCTCCATTTGGGGCACTGACGTACATCAGAAGCATTGCCTTGACGTTGTCCAGGGTGAAGAAGCGTGCTTCTGGATCTTTTTCTACAGTTTCAGTGATTAGAAAAAACGTGTATAGGGCAGATGCCCCGTATAATACTGTAATGAATACTGTTGGTCCAAGAAAAGTTGGGTCAGCCTTAATCCAATAGCCAATGATCACCTGGGAAATGGCCGAACCAAGCCATAACATGACTTCTAAGACTAGAATTCTGAAAGCACGTTGCTTCTTTGTTGTGATGTCAGCAATGTATGACATGCCCCCGATAAGGAGAGTGGCATAGTGTCCGAAAATACCTTCAATGACACAAGTGATAACAAGCCAGGAGATGTCCAGTTTGAAAGTGACCACGATAATGTTGCACACATTTTTGATGAAACTGCCGACACAGGGAAGCAGAATACAGAATTTCCGTCCTCCCTTATCGCTGTACGAACCATAAAACGTCGTGACGATTATGGCGGGAATCATCGTTGCTAGGCCGAACTTCTGAAGCCAGCCAGACGATATTTCCTGCACTAGTTGTTCCATCTTAACAACTGGGTCTGACGCGTTCAAAAGGCAGATGGAGATGTCCTCTGACTGGTTGCTATGGTACTGCTCGGGGTCGAAGTGAAGGTCGTCTGCTACCTTGGCGTGAAGGTATTGTGTTGCCAGTGGCGCTGTAGCAACTGTTCCCAGAAAATAAAGAAACATGACTGGTTCCACTGTTATTGGGCACCTTGGTTTGTGTCTTGACGTTCCATGTTGAATCAGTGGCACTTTCTCGTTAGGGCCTTTCTCAGTGGCTCCCAAGGAATCGTACTCATTGTCGTCCATTTTGGTTTGATTTTGTGGAATTTAGTCGCGGAGTCACCGTTTGAAAAGCTGGTAATGAAGAAACACGGTTTTAATTTATGTGTATTTTTTATATCTTGGCATTTTTCCACAATATTTACGAATCCTCGTTAATATTTTTCAGTTTAGTTTTCCTGTACAACTCTATGGTTAAATAATGCTGACGTGTACACCACCTTAGCTAAATATGGAGCAGACATACATTGTATTAGCAAATTACGTGTTACAGCACAGCTTGATTTTATTTTTTTAAAAAAGATGAGAAAAAATGGACGTACATACAATAAGTTACAGGGCCGTAGCCTAAGCAAACTGCCGGGGGGGGGGGGGGCAGTAAGCGGACACGAGGGGGCGAAGCCACCAAGGGGGGGGGGTTGGGGGGGGGGGTGGTCCCCCCCCCCCGGGGGGGAANATATTGTTTTTATAATTTTTAAATGGCGGGGATCGATTAAAACATACCTCTAGTGTATAGATTGAGTGCTGTATCTTCAAAATTCGAGAAATGGATTTTTACATGAACATTGTCCTTTAACTTCCAAAGTGGGAGAAAAGACGTTCCTAGCACGCTATGTTTGGGTTATGGTAGACTAGTATGACAATGTAGGGTTGTTTTGTGAGGTTTATATTTATGCACCCGGTTTATTAATCATACATGTGTGGTCATTTTACGACGCTCGTTTACTAACCAATCAAGGTGACAGCCGATCATGGGTCTATGTCCTCTTTTGACAATAAAGTTTCTGAACACAATTATATAGGAATGATTCTGTTATTTCTGTATGAAACACAGCTACGTGTAACACTATCATGCAATATCTACATGCTTTATTTATCTGTCGAGCTGTCCTAGTGATAACATGGTAGGTTGGGAGGCTACAAATAGCAACATGTACCCTCCTAAACTATAGGAGGGGTCAAAACATCACAGTTGGCGCAGCAACTAATGAAGAAAATAAAGCAATGATTTTTTTTTTTTTTCAAAATATGTCATATCCTATCTCTAAATTATACAAAGTAAAATGTTTAAAAAAGAAGATAGTTACAGACCTGGCCATGTTGACAGGACATTTCACAAATTGACTTTTCACTGATTTAGCCCGCTTTCAACAGAAATGTTAAGAAATTTTAACTTGCATGTCCTTTTTTCTTAACTTAACAAAAATCTTAAATTAATTCTGTTATCTTGTTGTGTAGAAATTAAGTTTATTCTGTCGGATATTTTCTTGTTTCTACTTTATTTGTATTCAATATACATAAGCGGTTTAATTGTGCCTTCTTAATCAAAATTATAACGTGAACGTGCCTATTACAGGTAAGGGAGTTTATTATTCTTATGCTTGTTTATTTCAATCGGGTCGTGATTCAAGGGGCACACTTGCTTCGAAGGAGGGGCAAACGACGGAAGGACAAAGAAACAATTATTTTCAAAACATTGAGCTGTTTCAAATGAGCACGCAAAGTGCTTACTCACACCTTGTCCTCATTTCAGTGTCCTCGTGAAACCCGCAGTTGTTTGCAAACAGTTGCACGTGCTTGCGAAGTGATTGCTATGCGCCTGCGCAGTGTGTCGTGCGCATGCGAGTTATAAAACTGTGTCACTCTAAGTGTTATTTCCGTACATTTCAGCAGTAGAATTTCACCGTCAATCGAGCGTCTCTTCGTGTGTGTAAACTAGCACAATTGCATTGGATATCCACAGTTTGTAAAGGTGACTTAACAACCAAAGCTTTTTAGAACCAAAAATGTTAAGTATCTGCAGCACCTTCGCTTTACGGTCAGCCAGATATTCCCTGCCTGGAATCCGAGCCATCTCCACATCGTCTTGCTTACTGACAGGCCCTCTGGATGACCAAGGGCATGTAGTCATCAAGGATAAACCCTCTCAAGGAAAACACGGGAGACCTGAGCACGCTTTTGCACCTCACCACTGCCAGGATTTAGAGGTCCTGTCCCAAATCGACGATGCCATTAAGGAGACAGAGGAGATGATGATTGGAGGGTCGGAGACGGCAAGAGTACACGTGCACGCGGCGGCCTCCGCGGCTGCCGATACCGACTCTCCGGACAGCAACTACTGCGATGCCCACAGTAACATAGATCTCCACTGCGTGATGCAGACCATGGTCCCCGAGCCCGTTGACACCAACAACGGTTCCCCGTCCCACGTGAACATGCCAGGCGGGGGACAGCTCCGGAATGACAAGTACGTCTACGATAACCTACACGAGATCTACCCTTCGCGGAAGTACCACACAAGCGCTCGACAGTACTCCAGTGCACCCCCTGAGCCGAAATATTGGACCAGCACGGACCCCTGCCCCCAGGGCATCCAGGGAGACGATTGTGAGAGGTTCAAACTGTGGCTGGAGAACTGCCGCAAGTATGGCCTGCAGGACTGCGATAGGGAGGTGCAGGGAATTCAGGAAGGCAGGAAGACGGTGGCACAGGTCATCGCAGAGCAAGATGAGATGATCAGGAAAATCAATGCTCATTATAAAAAGAATGGAGACAAGGTAAAGCTGGAGTGTGATTGAAATTTCCTTTACTAGTAGCTTCAATGCAGGGGTGCGGTTGTAAGCTTTATAACCTAGTGTTACCAGGCATGGCACTATATGTATTTCCTCACTTGAAGAGTTATACCTGGAAAATAAGCCATACCCTCACTACCTCTTTAGAAATGATCCTAATATGACAACACGTCTTCAATGATGAGACTCACATCCACATTCTGCTTTCAGCTTTCTTGTATAATCAGGATTACCCACCCCTATACACACACACACACACACACACACACACACTGTAACATTGCCACATGGAAAATAAGACTTGCCCTGCCCACTGACACTCATTAAGCTATGACCTAAAATGCAATCACATTTTCAATGATAACACTTTATCCACAAATCTCTCGATAGACTTTTTTTTTGTGTGAGGATCTGCTCCAGCCTATATATAGGGCCTGTATGAAATATGGCAATGATTTGTATCATAATGAACAGTGGCCTGTGACATCTTCCTGGGTGGCAATAATATTTACATAAATCATCATAGAAATAGGTAGTGAAACTTTGCTGATGGCTGACAAGATGTTGACTGGTAAACCAATTAAATATACTACTTTAAAACCCACACACTTACTGTAGTTTTGCACATTTTTAAGTAGAAAATCTTACACGATTTAAAGTAAGGAAGTTGCTTTTGGCATAGAGCTGTGATTTTCTTTATACATTTTAGTAGGCATACATGTATACATGTGATGATGTAGGTTTAAGTTATCTGTGCCTTTCAGTCACCTCTCGTTATATATGTTTCTACTGGTGGTACTTTACCTGTCTACGCTATTATAATTGTAAGGGGGCAGTTGACAGTCAGAAAAGGCTGTTGTAAATGTACTTTAGTTGTTAGGTGTAACAAAACCCTTGACTAAGCACCAATTATTCTGCCCTGTCAAGTTTTATTCATGGTGTGATGCCTTTCACTTAAAGATGACAAAATTCAGAGACTGCCTGAGGATATCTTGTCATAACAATCCTGATTTCAGGAGCAATTTGGTCAACAAAAGAGGGGCTATGCCTCCCTGGTTTTTCCCCAGCGTCGCCATTACTGCACCAAGTCTGACCCACCACCGCCAGCAGGAGAGGTACAGCTCAGCGGGGCACAGAAACTAAAACTAGCTGTAAAGGATTATGGTTCTACTGTGGTTGTATTCCACGTCAGCCTCTCCCTCGCCTCCTTAGGGGGCTTTTATCTGGCTGTGACAAGGTAAAGACTTGGTCAGAACTACAACCTAGATTTGACTTGTGCATGTGCCTTTCACTTTCATTTTCAGCATGCATGGGAATTCACTTCTTTGTTCTACAGTTAACTTCTTTTCTTTACCATAACTAGTATGTTTTATTTGATTATGTCTTATCTGTCATGTCATGTTTGGGATATTTTTAGACAAAGTTGAGGGATCTGAGGGCAGGTGGCTTGTCCTCAGCAAAGTCTACCATAAGAGTATTTATCAAGCATATCTGAATTAAATGATCTAGATAACTTAGTATATGAGATACACAAACATGAGTAGGGCAGTGAGACAGACACTGCTGAGGATATTTCCAGTACTCTTTTTTAATTTATTTGACATATTTTAGATATACCATAGTATGTGTGCAATAAAACCCTTTCTTATCTTTTATTTACTTTGTTTATAGTCAAAGAAGGACATTCATGGTGTTTGTAATTTGTTTATAGCTAAATTTGGACAATAACGCTCATTATTTCCGTAAACAAACATGAGCAAGTACAGGTGATTCCGCTTTAGCTCATCCCACTAACCTAATCACCAAGTTGCCTGATAGAAATGATAGTTGGAAAGGGAAGGGTTTTGGGACAGGGTGCAGATTAAGAAGTTTACTTACTGTGTGGATAAATGAATAATGCTATGAGATAAAATTATGAGAGTCATACGCTACATTTTGATTCACCATCTTGGATACTTGATCAAATGAATGGTAATTTTACGTTAAAAAAATTACAATTCACATGATCATAATCCACAAAATGGAGTGTACAAATCTGGTTATTTGGTCTCTCTGTCAAAAATAATGTCAATAATATGTCAATAATAATCTTATTTACAGACTATAAAAACATTTTCTTTTATTATTTATCTGATAATTTGGTGACACCAGTTAGATTTCTGTATAAAATTAAAGATGAATTTGAAGTCAAAATTTTGTCACAATACCCAACCAAATGCCACCATATGTAGGTTCAAATAATAACTTAAAGAAATACAAAAGGACACAGTTTCAACTGAAATCTTTTGAGCCACAATGCTTAGGCAGAAGTATATTCTGTTGGTCCCCTGTCTGTTTCTTTTATACAAGTAAGCACACACATACACACACACACACACACACACACACTATATGCCAAAAGACCTTGTAATGTACAAATCCATTCATGAACAAAAATAAAAATGTGTATTGCTAACAGACAATGAGGTTTTGCGTGCTATAACTGAATTGAATTTTGAGATGTTGCATCATAATTGGCTTGCTATTTTTGGTGTGAGTCTAAAGTTGCATTTATTTTAATAATATACTTTGATATCCGTTGATACTGGTATGTATACTAGTACCAGTATTTGTTAACTGAACATTTGCTTAGATGGCTTTAGTTTTTTTTTTATTATTCTGGCTAATTGAATTTGAAAAAAAAAAAGAAGCTTTTAAAGCAGTGGTGGCAGCAGAGAGCTCAGTCTCTTAAATGCAATAGAATGATTGCACTTGTATTTTGCTTACACGCTTGCCTGTATATTAAATACAATTTCACGCGTTCCAGGTGAAACACTGGTGCAATTATTTTATTGTTTGAAGCAGCAGCCTGGGATAAGTTGGTTACATCTACTTATCAGCCACTGAATGTGCAACAGTAGATGTCTCGTGTTGTAACAACTACTTAAATCACGATTTTAGCAGTAAACAATAGGCCACATAGTGCTCTGTTCCTGGCAGAGTCAGGACATGAATGAATACAGAAATACATGAAATTGAGCACGGAATTGTTTTCTGCTTGAACTGTGGTTAAGTCGATCATAATGCACTCAACCGAAGCTTTACATGTCTAATACATATATTATTTGCTGGGCTAGGTGAAGTTCCCAAAGACTGTATTAGGCAGTCTTATCCTCTGTAACACTGGGAATGGGCCTTTAGTAAGAGAAATTGGTTCAAATATAAATGATGTCACCAAATGACAAAAAAATTCTAAGAGACAATTTTAAGGTTTTTAACGCTTAAATGCGAAGCAAATTTTTAACTGAAAACATTTTTTTCGCATATTTCTCTTAAATTTTCAGAATAAATATATATTCCCACAATTTGGCCTCAACTGAATGAGCATTGTTTAATATCAATATTAGTCAATAATAAGACCATATTTATTAAACAGATGTTAATGTTTCAGCATTCAGAGTAATTAAAGTTAAACTTGTATTAATCTTTTTTTTTTTTTTTTTTTTATTTTTCAGCGGCATTGACATGGTTGGACTTCTCACAAAGATAGGAATCGGAACACAGTATTTAGAATCTGGAGTCCTCACAGGCGCCAGTACATTTGTGATTGCTTATGCTGTACATAAAGTGTTTGCTCCAGTTAGAATAGCCATCACACTCAGTGTGACCCCTTTTCTGGTCAGGTATCTCAGAAATATTGGACTGCTCAAACCACCCAAGGCAGCAGTTGTGAAACCTGCTGACGAGACTGAATCAACTCCAGGGGGAGACTCTAAAACAGACAAGCTATGATAGATTGTTGAACTACTAGGACTAGCATTTATAAAAACCAATGACTAGAAAAAACATCCAGTTGAAAGAAGGGATGTAGTAAAAAAATATCTCGATAAAAGGCAGCAGATTAAGTTCTCATTAACTGGATAATACTAGTGCATTTATTCACTGATGAGTACTTTGACAGATGCATTTACCAAAGTGCCCTTTTTTTAGTATTTATTTAGGTTTGTCAGTCTATGCTCTCCATAGGGGGAAGCAAAAATCAATTTGCATCCTAGAAAACAGCCTGCTTGCTTTGTTAAATAACACTTAATCAGTGATGACCTGTAAGGTGACCTGTTGTGTAGCATCCAGATTGTTGAAGGGTAGATACTCACTGGAGTGTACACAATCTTTACTCTGTGTGAAATCTACCTGAACTGAAGGGGGTTCTTTTTCATTAAAAAAAAAAAAAAGTGGACCTACCCACCCCATCCCTCCCAAGATGACCCAAGCGGATATTAGGCATAGGAGCCACTAGATCAAATTTTGATTCAGCATCGACCTTTTTCGACCAGAGTTTTTTTTTTTTTAAACCCACCACCCTTTGCTACATTCATATCCAAACTCAAAACCTTTGTGAGGTTGTGTAGTGGAATCAACAGCTTATAAAGGATGTAAATAAAAATGCAGTCTTTGAATCTGCAAGTTTACAGGCATTATTTTGAAAAAGAACACAATACAATGGTGGTCAGGAAGCACTAGAAAATGGTTAAAGATGCCAAGAAAATGTGTTACAAATATTTTTGTAAAAGGAAAAAAAAAAGAAAGAATTGACATTATAACCAGAATTCATATTAAACAGTATTTATGAACATGGAAATCCTAACATATCAGAGTGGATTTGTGAATGATGTACATGTAGATAAAATGCAATTTAAACGAAGTTTTGGGAAGGTATAAATTTGCCTTATGATCTTGTTTAGGGATGATTTTATCACTGGAAATAATCTACACGTATTTATATAGACTACCAAGTATGTCACTAAGGGTATTGCAGTAGGATATCTAATATCAAGTTTATTACATTATAATTAAAATATGGTAAATATCATTACCCATATTACACTTGTAGATTGAAATAAAGATAGCAATAAATGTAACTTGTAAATAAGAACAAATGTTTAATTGGATATAATAACTATGGATGTATATGTTTCCCTTTGATCCTTATTAATTTGCTATTTTGTAACATGGCCAAAAATTGATGAAATAAACTGTGGGGAAATTCAGTTGTTCATATAACTTGCTTGTGAGATTATGGTTGAAGACGTTTAGAGAAAGTTCCAAAGCAAAAGCAAAGATATTGTCAAGTTTACAGAATGCGTGAAAACCAAAACCATATCTAATTTCAGTGTGTTAGGTGAGACAGCTGCATTGTGTCTTGGTTGAGATGGGTTCAGAAAACAGACCAACGCACTATTCTATCGCATCCGTCAACGCAAGACATCTCATCGATTTACTGCATTGGGTAGACATTTGCTCTACACGCAGATTAAGTAGTTTTCAGTATGAGTGATTTAACAAACATAGACTGCAAGCTGTTATAAAGTTTTATATTGCTGATATGGGCCCTGTTGTTAAAAATTTGTAATTTGCTTGTTCGCGGTTTCTATTTTCTTTAATTTGCCATACAGTCGTATGTATAAAATTTGAATAATACGATATATGTAAAGGACACGTCAATCAAAAGGAAATCGTGCAAAACGCTGAAACCCACATCACGAGCAATATCGGTGGCTTTTTTGAGAGAACAAATAGAAACTCGCAAATCACATCAAAACCTATGATAGAGGGTGCACAAATGGCTTTGGCAATGTCTCTTATATAGTATTATAACATCATATAATAGAACATGCCTTTAATCTGAAGCCAGAGGACGAGAATAAAAAACACATTATTTTTTTTTTCTCTGACCCGCCCTGCTGTCTGGCTCACTCACACACAAATTACGCTCGACAGGTCCACGCAGTTTGATTGATAGATTGCGGAGAATATTGGCGTGGAGCACAATAATCTTGTGCTAAATTCTATAAATCAGGTACGACCTGTCAGCTCTTGACAGCACGTTCGTGATGTATGGGAAGTTGCTTCGTGATCGAGGGGGGAGCATGTCATTTTGCATAATATTCCGTCGCCAGGAGTGACATTAGCGGGGTCTCAGCTCGGCAGTTGGGCCGAAGCCTCGCCGCGGCTTTGGCCTCGTTCTAACCGGAATCAACTGAAAATGTTTTAACTTGAGATTTTTTTTTTTCATTTGTGATTCCAGAGTCTTGTTTGTGACCAACACTGTGAGCAGAAGGTAAGCTCACGATGAGATTCCATTGAATGGTAATCAAGCGCTTTTTGCCGAAGTTAAAATCATTTAACGTTTAAGCAAAGACTATCGGGAAATCGAGAAAAGGACTTGGCTGCGTTCCCCGATTTTCTTACAATAACTGTAATGAAGAGACAGCGTTTGTGAAACTTGTCATTTTTTTTCTTTTTAAAATGCAAAGAAAACTGTGTACCTTCTACCAAAATAAAAGAGGTAACCTTTTCACTTAATACTCACAAATATTTCCTTTTTCTGTTCACCAGCTGAGCACATTTCTGTATTGTCCATCGATAAATTTTTCACAATATTGACGCGCTGTCATTACTAAACTGGTCTATGGTAGAACCTTAGGAGGAGGAGGGGGCAGCTTAAGCAATCCATTGCCATATACACTGTGCATGAGATCGCTTTCGGTCTGAAGTAGCCCTATGTATGTTGAGACAGATCGGTCGATAGAACGAAGCTTTGTGTGACTGCGCCCCTCGCCGCTCTAATGCGAGCGAAAAAAGCAAAGAGAAACCACACGGAATAGAAAGTCTTGGTATCATTTCTGAGACTTTCCACGCCACTTTGAATGTCGAGGAATAGGAATATTATGACCTATAAATAAGAGTTATTGGGGGCAGTCCTGTGGTGCCCTAGGCAATACGTTAAAATAAATTATGAAAAAAAAAAAAGCCGACTTCTATTGAGTTATATGAAAGAAGTCTCCTACGTCAAACTGGACTTGATGATTAAGTTAAAATGACGCATTTCTTATGTTTTAAGTACAGAGGAAATAATTTTGGCGTCCCTTTTCAGTCTCTATATTTATCACCAGACAAATTATGCTAACCCGTGCGGAAAGATTTATTTGAGTGTCGTTTGTTATATTATATGTTATTATTGCGACTGCTGAAAAGCAGCTATCGTTTTGGGCGTGGTCAATATGCAAATGCTTTTTTTCTTGCATCGACTTATTAGGACCTTGTGCGTTATTCTCGAGATGCACTTATCCACTTTTGGGAAACAGCGCAACATTTGAAAATTACTTATAACTTTACCAACTTAAATTGAAAAACTTAAATTGAAGGGATGATAGGCCGCTATAATAACCCAAGATTTCCTTTCAGATCTAGGGTACTTAAATGGTAAATCTTAGTGCATTTTCCTAAAATCTCGACCGAGTTCCTCCAAATAAAGTCACTGGTTATTTCCTAATATTTTTAGAGCGACAGGCCATTCGTCAGTGTTAGGCACCGCTCAACTGCGATAAGATGCCAAACAACAGGAAACGCATAAATAAGTATCATTTATTTTCATTAGTGTTGAAATTTTGATGGGAAATGTTTCCCCGAAAAAAAAATACAGAAATTATTTTCAAATTGCGCTATAAATAACATGACAATAATAAAGACAATCTTCGGCAATAAGTACGACGTTATAGCACTAACAGTCGCATTTACAATGGCACAAAAAAACTTGTCAACAGGAGTTTAAGACGCTCGACTAAAAATACTTAGCAATGAAAAATGTAGCCATCACATCAATGTTATCAGATTACAGTGCGTGAGGAGGAAGAATTCGTTTACAATGCACCTACACATAAGTTACTACAACAGCCAGCGAAGTCATCAGATTTCATCTAACAGATTGCCACACGATGCATACGATGTTTTTTCCCGAAATAATCGGCTGTAAAGGCTATAGGTCTTCATAATATATGCAACAAAAAGCCATAAGGGGTATTATTATTATTTTTTTTGTAAAACTTCACATCATTGCTTATATGCACCAGGTAGTCGAATGAAGCGTGAACATCGCTTTCAGTGTCTATGCGCATTACCCTGCGTTTCAGACCCCTGTTTGATGACATGTAAATGATCGTAGAACAGGTTCCCCCAAACTGAGCGTGATGTTCTACGACAACCTGAAGCTCAGGGTAACACAAAGGAAATATGACAAAATTCTTTGTGATAAACGAATCTGGGAAAACCGTTTAAGGTTGTCCTACCAAAAAACTTTTTCAACGTGAAAAAAAAGAGAGTATAATAAAGCCTCATTACCGGCACCCTGTGACAACATACAGTTTAACAAAATCTTGTTTTCAGAATCAAATACGCAGCTGACACAGTAAAGGGTGATTTTTCAAAATAATTAATTACACTGACGTGCTTTACAAACATCAACTATTTTACACACTAAAGAAAATCAATAACTTTTTGAAAATATGGAAAACCCCGCTGGCGCAACAAAACTAAGCAATGAAACTGAAGACAATGATAAGACTAGTAAGATCGTAGGACAAGCACCCACTTTGAAAATATGTGCAATGGTAATGCAATAAACTTCCAATCAAATGATTATGTTAACGTTAATGCTGCCATAGACAAATAATGAAAGACTGGAAAAAGATATGGTACACTTAAACATTTCAAGAAGAGGTGCCCAGATTGAACAAATTTCATTTAAAATGTATAATAACATTTCAGATAAGATGTATTTTTTTTCAAAAACACCATCAATTTTAACAGATATATAACTTTTATAATGCCCGTCGAAGTCGGACAAAAATGAAAAAGTCTAGACCTTATGTTACAAGTCTTACAACACATGATCTAATGATCTTCAATTGCACCAGTTTTTAATAATTGCATGATTTTTAAATCAAAATTATAAATAATTGGTAACAACCACATGTTGAACCAATTAGGTAATTATCTTGGCAAATGTATAATCCAAGCAAAGTTATGGTAACTTAATAAGTAAAAATCTCAAGCGTCATTAACTTGCTGCCATCACAGTCAATGGCTATCCTCAGGCCAATATGGAGGTAAAATGACCACTAGGTGGTAGTTTGACCAACACCCAGAAGTAAATGTCCAGTATGCCAATGATACTGAAGATTTTCACTATTCTCAAGTCCACAACATGACAAGAGAAAATTGCTTAACAACTTATAAATGTCTGTACGGAATACAATTATCTTGATAGCACCAGTATATACAACATGTAATTAGACTTCAGACCAGCATATTGCTACATCTGCCTCCAGAAACACACACCTTGACTGGTTTAGGTCAAAAAGACATCATCACCCAAATTAGTTTCCTAGTCATTTAAGAGTTAAAACCCGAGCAATGGGTCTATTAAGTCATCAACATGTTCATTAACTATTGTTTACGAAAGTTAATCTATAGAGTGGAACAATCCTAAATTATGTCTATTGCAATCTCTCACTAGATGTAGACTGCTAAATCAATTTAGTAATCTACCGATGTTATGTAGACATAAACCTGTCTGTCTGAATATAAACACACCTTACTCAGCCTCAAATCTAACCCAGGACCCAGCGTTAAAATGAAACCTGAAAGACCTACACTTTTCGTCACTTTACACTTGGTATATATTTAAGAGTTGAAAGTTACTGAAAATTTATGGTCTTTTAACCAGTACCATGGAACACATCAAAGAGGCTAAAGCCAGCAGACTTACAACTAGTTTCTCTGCACATATATATATATAACAGGTGGAAGCTACTAGACAATGAGAAACCCGTAATCAGTACCTGGGCACATACATTTAACAGGTGAAAGCCTCCAAACATTAAAGACCANAGTAGATTTGTGAATGATGTACATGTAGATAAAATGCAATTTAAACAAAGTTTTGGGAAGGTATAAATTTGCCTTATGTAAAATGTCTGTTTAGGGTTGATTTTATCACTGGAAATAATCTTCTTGTATTTATATAGACTACCAAGTATGTCACTAAGGGTATTGCAGTAGGATATCTAATATCAAGTTTATTACATTATAATTAAAATATGGTAAAGATCATTACCCATATTACACTTGTAGATTGAAATAAAGATAGCAATAAATGTAACTTGTAAATAAGAACAAATGTTTAATTGGATATAATAACTATGGATGTATAATTTTTCCTTTGATCCTTATTAATTTGCTATTTTGTAACATTGCCAAAAATTGATGAAATAAACTGTGGAGAAATTCAGTTGTTCATATAACTTGCTTGTGAGGTTATGGTTGAAGACGTTTAGAGAAAGGTCCAGAGCAAAAGCAAAGATGTTGTCAAGTTTACGCGTGAAAAGCGAAACCAAGTGTAATTCAAGTGTGTTAGGTGAGATAGCTGCATTGTGTCTTGGTTGAGATGGGTTCTGAAAACCTAGAGACCAGCGCACTATTCTATCGCATCCGTCAACGCAAGACATCTCATCGATTTACTGCATTGGGTAGACATTTGCTCTACACGCAGATTAAGTAGTTTTCAGTATGAGTGATTCAACAAACACAGACTGCAAGCTGTTATAAAGTTTTATATTGCTGATATGGGCCATGTTGTTAAAATTTTGTAATTTGCTTGTTCGCGGTTTCTATTTTCCTTTAATTTGCCATACAGTCGTATGTACAAAATTTGAATAATACGATATATGTAAAGGACACGTCAATCAAAAGGAAATCGTGCAAAACGCTGGAACCCACATCACGAGTAATATCGGTGGCTTTTTTGAGAGAACAAATAGAAACTCGCATATCACATCAAAACCTATGACAGAGGGCGCAAAAAATGGCTTTGGCAATGACTCTTATATAGTAATATAATATAATATAACATGCCTTTAATCTGGAGCCACGGGGACGAGAATAAAAAACACATTATTTTTTTTCTCTGACCCGCCCTGCTGTCTGGCTCACTCACACACAAATTACGCTCGACAGGTCCACGCAGTTTGATTGATAGATTGCGGAGAATATTGGCGTGGAGCACAATAATCTTGTGCTAAATTCTATAAATCAGGTACGACCTGTCAGCTCTTGACAGCACGTTCGTGATGTATGGGAAGTTGCTTCGTGATCGAGGGGGGAGCATGTCATTTTGCATAATATTCCGTCGCCAGGAGTGACATTAGCGGGGTCTCAGCTCGGCAGTTGGGCCGAAGCCTCGCCGCGGCTTTGGCCTCGTTCTAACCGGAATCAACTGAAAACGTTTTAACTTGAGATTTTTTTTTGCATTTGTGATTCCAGGGTCTTGTGACCAACACTGTGAGCAGAAGGTAAGCTCACGATGAGATTCCATTGAATGGCAATCAAGCGCTTTTTGCCGATGTTAAAATCATTTAACGTTTAAGCAAAGACTATAGGGAAATCGAGAAAAGGACTTGGCTGTGTTCCCCGATTTTCTTACAATGACTGTAATGAAGAGACAGCGTTTGTGAAACTTGTCATTTTTTTTCTTTTTAAAATGCAAAGAAAACTGTGTACCTTCTACCAAAATAAAAGAGGTAACCTTTTCACTTAATACTCACAAATATTTCCTTTTTCTGTTCACCAGCTGAGCACATTTCTGTATTGTCCATCGATAAATTTTTCACAATATTGACGCGCTGTCATTACTAAACTGGTCTATGGTAGAAACTTAGGAGGAGGAGGGGGCAGCTTAAGCAATCCATTGCCATATACACTGTGCATGAGATCGCTTTCGGTCTGAAGTAGCCCTATGTATGTTGAGACAGATCGGTCGATAGAACGAAGCTTTGTGTGACTGCGCCCCTCGCCGCTCTAATGCGAGCGAAAAAAGCAAAGAGAAACCACACGGAATAGAAAAATCTTGGTATCATTTCTGAGACTTTCCACGCCATTTTGAGCGTCGAGAAATAGGAATATTATGACCTATAAATAAGAGTTATTGGGGGCAGTCCTATGGTGCCCTAGGCAATACGTTAAAATAAATTATATAAAAAAAGAAAAAGCCGACTTCTATTGAGTTATATGAAAGAAGTCTCCTACGTCAAACTGGACTTGATGATTAAGTTAAAATGACGCATTTCTTATGTTTTAAGTACAGAGGAAATAATTTTGGCGTCCCTTTTCAGTCTCTATATTTATCACCAGACAAATTATGCTAACCCGTGCGGAAAGATTTATTTGAGTGTCGCATGTTATATTATGTGTTATTATTGCGACTGCTGAAAAGCAGCTATCGTTTTGGGCGTGGTCAATACGCAGATCCTTTTTTTCTTGCATAACCGAAGTAATGAAATGGACCCCACCCGACTTTTTCGTTATTTTATAGTGGATTGGGATCGACTTATAAGGACCTTGTGCGTTATTCTCGAGATGCACTTATCCGCTTTGGGAAACTTGGATTGAATTAAAAAGTATACGATTAGCAGCGCAACATTTGAAAATCACTTATAACTTTACCAATAAAACTTAAATTGAAGGGATGATAGGCCGCTATAATAACCCAAGATTTCCTTTCAGATCTAGGGTACTTAAATGGTAAATCTTAGTGCATTTTCCTAAAATCTCGACCGAGTTCCTCCAAATAAAGTCACTGGTTATTTCCTAATATTTTTAGAGCGACAGGCCATTCGTCAGTGTTAGGCACCGCTCAACTGCGATAAGATGCCAAACAACAGGAAACGCATAAATAAGTATCATTTATTTTCATTAGTGTTGAAATTTTGATGGGAAATGTTTCCCCGAAAAAAAAAATACAGAAATTATTTTCAAATTGCGCTATAAATAACATGACAATAATAAAGACAATCTTCGGCAATAAGTACGACGTTATAGCACTAACAGTCGCATTTACAATGGCACAAAATACGTGTCAACAGGAGTTTAAGACGCTCGACTAAAAATACTTAGCAATGAAAAATGTAGCCATCACATCAATGTTATCAGATTACAGTGCGTGAGGAGGAAGAATTCGTTTACAATGCACCTACACATAAGTTACTACAACAGCCAGCGAAGTCATCAGATTTCATCTAACAGATTGCCACACGATGCATACGATGTTTTTCCCCGAAATAATCGGCTGTAAAGGCTATAGGTCTTCATAATATGTGCAACAAAAAGCCATAAGGGGTATTATTATTATTATTATTATTTTTTTTTTTGTAAAACTTCACATCATTGCTTATATGCACCAGGTAGTCGAATGAAGCGTGTACATCGCTTTCAGTGTCTATGCGCATTACCCTGCGTTTCAGACCCTTGTTTGATGACATGTAAATGATCGTAGAACAGGTTCCCCCAAACTGAGCGTGATGTTCTAAGACAACCTGAAGCTCAGGGTAACACAAAGGAAATATGACAAAATTCTTTGTGATAAACGAATCTGGGAAAACCGTTTAAGGTTGTCCTACCAAAAAACTTTTTCAACGTGAAAAAAAAAAGAGAGTATAATAAAGCCTCATTACCGGCACCCTGTGACAACATACAGTTTAACAAAATCTTGTTTTCAGAATCAAATACGCAGCTGACATAGTAAAGGGTGATTTTTCAAAATAATTAATTACACTGACGTGCTTTACAAACATCAACTATTTTACACACTAAAGAAAATCAATAACTTTTTGAAAATATGGAAAACCCCGTTGGCGCAACAAAACTAAGCAATGAAACTGAAGACAATGATAAGACTAGTAAGATCGTAGGACAAGCACCCACTTTGAAAATATGTGCAATGGTAATGCAATAAACTTCCAATCAAATGATTATGTTAACGTAAATGCTGCCATAGACAAATAATGAAAGACTGGAAAAAGATATGGTACACTTAAACATTTCAAGAAGAGGTGCCCAGAATTGAACAAATTTCATTTAAAATGTATAATAACATTTCATGTAAGATGTATTTTTTTCAAAAACACCATCAATTTTAACAGATATATAACTTTTATAATGCCCGTCAAACTCGGACAAAAATGAGAAAGTCTAGACCATATGTTACAAGTCTTACAACACATGATCTATTGTTATTCAATTGCACCAGTTTTTAATAATTGCATGATTTTTAAATCAAAATTATAAATAATTGGTAACAACCACATGTTGAACCAATTAAGTTAATTAACTTGGCAAATGTTTAATACAAGCAAAGTTATGGTAACTTAATAAGTAAAAATCTTAAGCGTCATTAACTTGCTGCCATCACAGACAATGGCTATCCTCGGGCCAATATGGAGGTAAAATGACCACTGGGTGGCAGTTTGACCAACACCCAGAAGTAAATGTCTAGTATGCCAATGATACTGAAGATTTTCACTATTCTCAAGTCCACAACATGACAAGAGAAAATTGTTCAACAACTTGTAAATGTCTGTACGGAATACAATTATCTTGATAGCACCAGTATATACAACATGTAATTAGACTTCAGACCAGCATATTGCTACATCTGCCTCCAGAAACACACACCTTGACTGGTTTAGGTCAAAATGACATCATCATCCAAATTAGTTTCCTAGTCATTTAAGAGTTAAAACCCGAGCAATGGGTCTATTAAGTCATCAACATGTTCATTAACTATTGTTTACGAAAGTTAATCTATAGAGTGGAACAATCCTAAATGAAGTCTACAGCAAGTCCTCGCTAGATGTAGACTGCTAAATCAATTTAGTAATCTACCGATGTTATGTAGACATAAACCTGTCTGTCTGAATATAAACACACCTTACTCAGCCTCAAATCTAACCCAGGACCCAGCGTTAAAATGAAACCTGAAAGACCTACACTTTTCGTCACTTTACACTTGGTATATATTTAAGAGTTGAAAGTTACTGAAAATTTATGGTCTTTTAACCAGTACCATGGTACACATCAAAGAGGCTAAAGCCAGCAGACTTACAACTAGTTTCTCTGCACATATATATATAACAGGTGGAAGCTACTAGACAATGAGAAACCCGTAATCAGTACCTGGGCACATACATTTAACAGGTGAAAGCCTCCAAACATTAAAGACTATTTTATCCAGTGAGTAATTAATGATTGACAGCACTGATTAAAGGCTGCGTCATTTCTTTGTTCAGACTCAATGACAAATATAGGTTCTGTGATTAAACTTTGCTATTATCGTCATCTGCCAGCATTTATATTTGTCTACTTAACAGTCATCACTCACGATTTACTGCCATTGTGAGGCAATGTTTTCAGAAGTACACCAATGCGGTCTCACTCTCAAATAACTATTATTGCCAATTAGCTTGAAAAATATAATCTAACCACTTTTTTAGGCAGAATAAAAGACAAATTTGAAAAAGAAAAATAATGTTTTTTTTTAAATTCATTAGACTGAAATTTTGGCTATTAGCAAACAATACCAAGCTAAGTGAAGGCTACACAGTCATCATTCATTTGTAACTGCCTTTGTCGGAGCCAGCTCTTCTGCAAGACTGTAATATTTTGTAACATAATCTTGACATTGTCTAAATTACAGTCTACGCTAGTTTTTGCCTTTGTAGTCCTGTCCAATGGGTAATCTGTTAAAATATGAAATGTAGAAGAAAGGTGTTTTGCAAAGAATAATATGGGTTTGATAAGATTGTTCTATTTGTCATCTGTCTGAATGTCAACTTCGCTAGCAATCATTTTTCACTGGTTACTGCCTTTGTGGGCAAGTTCTTTGGCAAGCTGGTAATATTTTGAAAACTTAGATGGATGATTCAATGGAGCATAGAATTTATGTTCTTTAGAATTGTGATCTAATGGCATGTAAATGTATGGTGTGGCTTGATACGGGTCGTAAGGCAGGGAAATTTTTCCCTTGAGCTTTGTCTTCTTTTCCACCAAATGAGTACAGCGACTCTGATGGTATCTGAACGACCCTTTTGTCACAAATCGCCTTTGACAGTTCTCACAGCGAAATTTATCAACCCACTTGTCCCAGGATTTGGCACTCTCCCTGCTATCATTGGTATCATTAGAAGAGGAAGAGTCTGGGCTGGGGGCACTGTGCTCTATTGTAGAAAATGACGTTTCGTTCACAACTTCTCCATTCTTGTTTATAGATGCAACCTGTTCTGCTTCCTCCTCTTCCTCATCCTCCACTTCCTCTTTGATTGGTGATCTTGCCCCATCTGCTTCTACTCTGCTTTGGTTATGGTCTTCATCTTTGGATTCTCCATTTGTTTGTCGTGTGTCATTTTTACTATTATCCCCTGGGTGTTGGTGAAGGTATTTCCTTGATCTTAACCTCATGTAGCAAGAGTTAGGCTGCTGTGTGACTTGTTGTGAACTGTCAGCACTGGTGTTATCTGTTTGCTCTTCCTTCACCTTTGGCTCTTCTTCCCTTTTTATCTGTTCCTTTACAACATTTGGCGTCTCTGGTAAAAAAACATCATCATCATCATCGTCATCAACATCAGCATCATCATTACCATCATTGAATCCATCACCATTGTGATGCAAATCCAAGTTCTCTAACTTAGAGTCCCGTGTATTATCTTTATCATTTGAATCAAGGAGTTTTTGCTTGATACACCCATAATGGGAGCTGGCTTTCAAAGAGCTTGGATACTCCCTCCGTATTTCTACCACCTGTGTGCGTGTCAGAAGCTTACGTAGACTATCCAATGGGTGCTCTGCACTGCTTGTCCTGTGATCCACCAATCCCTGCAGAGACTGTAACACTGATTTGGAGTTTATGGTCTCGTTTGCATTTAGTGGGTTAAGAATCTCCGTCCCCGTCCCTGTGGAGGTAACCTTGACCTCCTCCCTCGATGTCATGTCTGCCATTGCTTTTAAAATTGTGGAGCTGTCCGTAACTCCAGTGCTGCTTTCTGGTGGCAGTATCACACTTGTGCTGCTGTCGGCAGCAGCAGTGACTGAAACCGATGGAGTTTTACCACCATCTGGTTCTGGATCATTATGATCATCATCGTTATTATTACTTTTAGGATTAGGTTTCTGATCTAGCTGGCTCCTGTAGCCACTGTGGCTGGCTTTGGCTTGCTGTTGTCTGTAGATAATGGGTCTGCTGAGGTGTTGCTGCTGTAGCTGCCAATGGTGGTAATAGGAACCTTTCAACAGAACATTCCTCACTGGAACTGTTGATGTTGCTGCTGCTGCTGCAACTGGTACGTTTGATTGGTGGACAATGGAGTTACTGCTGCTGCTGCTGTACTTATCGAAAAGATTTTCCAATACTTTGAGGGAAGATGATGATGTGATGTTTTTTGCGCTACTTGGTTCATCATCAGGGTTTATGTAAAGTCCCCCATGTGCAGCTCCTCCGAAACTTGAAGAGAGAGATTCATTTTCAGGGGAGGGAGATTTGGGCTCTTTTTTTACAATAACTGTCGCAGCTTCTGGATTTGATTTATCTTCCAATTCTTTGGGTACAGTCTTGACTGGCTGTCTTGCTGGGGTTTGCCCACTGTCGCCTTCTTTTTCCATGATTTCCTCACCGTTCTGCGTTCCTTGGGTCAAAGCAACGTTGATACAGTCTCTAACATGATCTACAAACATGGCTGCTTCAATCTTTTTATGGCAGTTTTCACATGTGATTGTGCTCAGCAAAGGGTACGTAGGAGGCAGGGAGCATTCTGCAGGAATACCTCCCCCTCGTTTGCTTTCAAGTAACCTAGCAACAGTAGGACTTCTTTGAGCTTTGGTTGTTTTTGTTACTAATACAGAAGAGTCTGTTACTTTGGTCTCTGCTTTAGATAAAGTTGTTGCCACAGCGGCAAGACTGGCCAATGGATTTCCATATAACAACTGACTATATGGCTGACTGATACTGGATTCTACACTCTTGCCAGTAGAAATGTCCTTGATTACATTTACAAAACTCTGTCGACAATGGATATTTTGCCCACCAGGTTCAACACTAGATGGCTGACTTAATCCATGACTCTGATGATTCACGGTAGTGGGCTTGAATGCTGAGGCTGATGTGAGAGCGGCGGCCATGTTGGTCAACCCAACCATGGGTGATACTGTGGTAATAGGTTCAGATGTGGTAAGGAAGGGCGACATATAAGTCACCGATTGTGATGGAGACACAACCTGGCTTGCTGGAATGGATAGTCCTGTGGCAGAGGAAGAACAAGGTGTTTCCATGTCTAATTTTTCCTTTGGGATGGAACTTGGTTTTGTGGAACCCAAATCAGTAGGGTTTATTTTCTTCATTGTTGATGAAGAAGTGCTGCTAGTGGTCACTTCCTCACCACTCTGAGATTGTGCGAGGCTTGTCTTTGGGCGCAGACGTCTGCTGTGTGATTGGCTGTGATGACCCGATTCTGCTAAATGTGTGCCTAAATTTTTCAAGTCTGCAAAAACAAGGTGGCACACCTTGCACTTAAAGACAGGGTTTCCCATCTCCTCCTCATCTTTGTTAGCTTTGTGGTAGATTTTACGATCTGCTATGAAGAACTTCTGATAGTGCTCCGTTTTCATCATATGCACAGTTAAATCAGGGAGAGACCTGAACGATTCTCCACATTTTATACAGCGTAAAATCTGCCGTGTCTGCTCAGGACTGTGGTGGAGCCACATGTCTTGTCCTCTTACAAGTTTGGGAAATTCGGCCCCCTGATTTCGCATGTTTGAGGAAGGCTGGTGGCCAGTCTCTTTAATGTGCACACTGAGGTCATATAAGCTGTAGTACTTCTGGGAGCAACTGCACACAAAGTTAGTGAAGTTTGACTCACTGTCTGAGTTGGCCAATTCTGAACCAGGAAACCCTATCCTGGGATCTGCCACACTAGAATCTTTAGGTATCCATATTGTTGAACATTGCTGTGGTGGCACACTGCATTTCTCTTTGCTTTCTTGTTGCAGATTAATCTGTTTGCCTGTTCCTGCCTTGCTGTTACCTTTCAGCAACTTTGCAACAGTTTCATAGCTGGACTGTATATTTGAGTGTAAAGAACTGCGGATTACAAGTCTGTCCTTTTGTAACTCTGACCCAGCTGTGACAGAATTAGATTTAACTGAAGCAGGCTCCAATGCCTCACCACCATAAAGTCCTTTTTTCACATTATCTAATATCTTTGCCACTCTGTCTGCACTTGTTTGAATGTTGGAGTGCAGAGCAGAACTGGCAATGTTTTGGACCGTGGCGGCAATGGGCACTGACACAGTGGACCCGACCATGGCAGACGAAGAGGAGGAACACTTCAATGACTGCTCACTCGGGAAACCGACAGACAACTGCACATAGCTTCCTTGAAGACTTTTACTATGTTTATGCATCTCATTAGTCCTTTTTGAGCTTGGGTTCCTATTTGCAGTTTTCCTCTTTTTTTCCTGCCATGGTACCCCAAATTTTCTCTCCAGAGAAGCCAGGGAAGACATCCCGTATAGATACTCCGCATCTGATTCTGTATCTTGTATTGGAACAGAGAACTTTGGCTTTTTTGGTTTAACTGACAAATCAAGAGGTCCGTCATCGTCATCGCCCTCTTCTTCTTCTCTCTCCTCATCTGAATTGCCCATGTTAGAGAACATATCAGACATGGAATTACCACAACCTATGGTACCTTCGATTTTGCTTTGAAGAAAGTCCCTCAGAGCAGACTTGCTACTGTTTTTCTGATGATAATCCAGGAATGCCACAGACTGCTCATTGCACTGTTCTGTTTTCACACTAACTGCTGAGTAGTTGGTTTCACTGGGGCCAGTAGCATTGCCCTCTTCTTCATCACTGGGCTCTTCATCCTCTTCTGTGTCACTGGCTCCTCCTGGCAGTGAAAGTCCACCAGCGCCATCTGGCAGCAGATTCTCATTGAGACAATTGCCTGTCGCTTTAATATCAAGCTCTTCAGCTGAAAATGAGGAAAAAAGTCAGTTAAAATTTCATTAAGTCCATTTCTAAAACTCCTCTATGTATTTTGTGTACCTCCTCCCTACTACCCCTTTTATTGGTAGAAATATAGTTTTTTTTACAAGGAGATTGTGTTCCATAATTAAGTTGTCTGCTACGTTTATATGATAAACCATTGCCTTTAGAGATATACACTGGGCTTGATAACAAAAAAAAATGTAACAAAGTAATCTAATGCCCAACTGTATGTAGTGCATCATAACTTGCTGTTCTTATTAATGCTGATTTAATTATGACAGGTCTGATTAATGTAATTTCTTCCATTCACACCAGATAACATATTCCAATAACAATGGACGTCAGAACTAATCGCTGCCAATCAACAACATCCAACTGTTATTTCACAGCTGAATACACACCTGGAATGCTGATTCATAATACAGAAAACAACAAAATCAGAATCTAAACTTCCTCATATGTAGTAAATCAAATAACTTGCTTCAATCTTCAAGATATACCAAAGATACAAACTCCACACAATAGACTGCTTTTAAAAAAATGCAAAATCACAGAAAATGTACAAGAATATTTCCACAGAGATTGGCAACATCAGATGGTGTAGTCTCCATACCAAGCATCCATCTTAATTACCTTACGTCATATTTCAACAGCAATCCCACTTAAAAGGAAAAATAAAAGGCCAATCTGGCCATCACATAAAGTCTGTTTCAAGTTGTAGTTGTGAAATCACAGCTTTCAAGTAGACAACTGTTACTCATTCTTATCATAAAGATTTGTCACTTCAGCTTTCATGACAGACAGGTTACTTTGGTTACTGCAGCATCATAAAAAAGGGTCATATTTTGGTAACTCCATAAGATCTCCAATAATACAAGGAAGTAAGTCCTGACCAAGAATGTGTGGTTAAAACTGCCAACAGTTAGCAAAAAGAAAAAAAATATGAATCTGGAAATCATGAATCTGTATTTCCTGATCATCTCCATCATCATCATTCTTTCTCCTTAAACAGAATGGCAGCAGTTACAGCAGAGATACATATAATGCTTAGGCCAGAGTTGCTGCTTTTTCTTATATATATTATCTTTAAGAATCACAGAAGCACAGAGTTTTTTCGTTAGTCATATGACACAGGTGGTTTTGATATTATAATTCAGTGATAAATATTAATTATTCTATCGATGTATTCAGATCATTTTTAAAATAGAAGACTTCAATCCTCGTTTTAGGTAGTAGACACTTGATTGCAATCCAACGCTCTCATCAAGTTAAATAGTCTGCTCAGTGCCAAGTGGGTGGGGATACAGGAGATTATCACAGGGTTGAATACAATCAAGCGCCTGTTTCTCAAACTAAAACAGTTTTTGTTAACACGCCTCTGAATGCATCCTATGGGTGCCATTATAATTACCTACTGTAGCCTGTTCAAGCTGTTACAACCTGCTGTTGCTGTAAAAAAAGAGCAAAATTGTAAACAATTCACCAGTAGAGCACAGGTGTCTTACCGCATAATAGTGATAGATTTTGCCCCTCCGAACAGTTAACCTACCAAAACTAAAGGAACATATTCACACAGGCTGAAATGAAGTGGGCTGTTAAACACGTACTCTACTTGCTGTCATCCGCCAACGGCATCATCAGGCATTTGTTAGCATAACAATCAGCATGTTCACAGATCTATATATAGAATGGTTTCAGAATTAAGCCTTTTGTATGATGTCATCATTTAATTATGCCATCAGCAGGCTGTCGACAAATGGAGTGTTCACAGTGAATAAACTGAAAGGGTTCAGAAGAATTCTACTTGATTTCATCAGTCAACTGTAAGAACAAGATGGTTGCAAGCTCAGCAGTAAGCCACCTGGATGCATGGAGCGCAGTTGTTTGGAAGCAGACAAAGTGGTCAGCAACTTCAAGGAGGGTGTTCTTTTTCTAAAAAAATGGACTTTTTATCCTCTTAAGTATAGTTAAGAAATGGTATAGAAACTCCATCAGATTTGGATTCAGAGTGGACCTTTTGTAACTAAAGGGTGGTTCATTTGACCTCCCACCTCGCTTTTCTACATGCCTGGTTGGTGAACATTCAATAACTACCTAAGTTTTTCTAATGACATACTTGTAGTGAACACTTCACTCAAGACACAGAAAGTATGATGTCATTTATCTAAATTGTAATCAAGCCATTGCCTGCACAGCAAATTACTCTGCAAACAAATTCAACATGGATACAGATGAGTGAAAACTAGCACTTATAATGATGCTGTATAAACACCCACTTGATTGCAATCAGCACTGATGACAGAGGAGAGGGTAGGGAATACCCCCCCCCCCCCCCCCCCATCACCAATCACCATGAATTAAAAACAGCTCAATCACGAAGATATATTCAGGTCAATCACCAAGAATTCCTGAATCAGGTTTCATTAGGCTCAAATAACGCATCACACTCAAAATAAGGCCAATCACGCGGAACGCAAAAGGTATTCCCTACACTCATGATATAACTGAGATCATACCTTACAATGATACAGTATTAAATCCCACTTGATTGCAATCAGCACTGATGACATCATTTATGTAAACCCCTTTTACACTGGACGGCGTCCTTTCTGCATCCTTTGTGTGACCATGACACTGACATCGTTGTGGTCTTAGAAAGGAAGCACAAGCACCACTTTGCAGAATGAATGCTCAATGATTGGCCAGTTGTCAGCAAGTATGATTTTATTATACTCTCAAATGGGGCTGTACTACTGGACTAGTATGTAGAAAGGACGCCGTCCAGTGTGAAGGGGGCTTTACATCATACCTGATATAGCCCCTATAGTATGAGTCTTGTGTGAACTCAACCTGACAAGTGCATTGTACCTGCCCACTCTCAATAACACACAATTTTACATTTCTCCCTGTCTAGAAAATAATTAGCCAGGCCCTAAAAAGCTTATTTAGGAGCCAGCCTCTCCTTTAATCTTGTGTCTGCCTTCTTCACTTCCTATCACTTTTAATTTACTAAACATAAAGTAAAAAGATCCTAACATCTCAAAGTGCAAATTACAGGTCACGGAGACAAATGAGAAAAGACAAGCAGTAACTGGATTATTCACCAACTGATCATGTGAGGTTTTCCCCTCTGACGTGTCAGGCTCTGGAATAGTTCCCCAGATGAAATTCTCTTCACATAAGACGAGTTCAGACATGGCTATCAACCTTGACTGGTTCAGGTCCAACTGTCACTAGCAAATTTGTAGTATGGGTAGCATATCTGATTCTATGATTTAAGCATCCTCTTAATCTCTTTATCTCAATATACCTGACAGCTTGATGTAACATGAAATAAATATTTTTAAGGTGTGATTTTATTGGATTCCTTTTCATATTAAAGTTGTTCATAAAATGTCATTACATATGTCCCAGTACTGTTTTTCATTTAAAAACTTATTCAACTTTGCACCTCCTAATGAATTTATTTCATGTCTGGCTTTCAATCAACAGTCTAAAAGGTGTGGTGTTATGATTTACACCTGCTGCCAACACATGCAACCCTGTGTGTCAGAAAATGAACACAGAAATGTTGATGGTCTCTTATTCTGAGTGGGAGAGAGTCACCATCAGCCAAGTGAAAACCAGGGTACCACCTTGAAACCCAATCCTAGCTATTTATTAGAAATACCTGTATCAAAACTTACTGCAATTGACGTTGTAGCTATCCATAATTACATGACAGGTAGAATACAGGTGATTTTATCTTGTCATACCTGGATGTCAGAGCAAAAACAGTTGATAAGTTATCTATTTTCAAGGCACATTGGGCGCATTCTTGGCATGGATTACTCTAATACAAATGATTTTGATACAAATGATTTTTAATGCTTTTCCCCTAATGGCCAACTTCATCTTTGCCATTCATTCAAAGGCAGTCACAAAACGCATTTTTAGACCAATATGAATTTTGTTCATTTTAAGTGAAATTTATTACCAACCCTCATCTTTGTAGTGGTATATCAATGTCATATAATACCAATCAATCACAAAACTTATTTTATTTTGATACAAAGACATTTCCCCTCTGCACCTTCATCAAGCAAACCATTTTTTTCTGATAACAGTCCAGGTGGATTAGGACCACGATGTTGTCCAAGTTTCGTTAGTGAAAAAAAAAAAAAAAAAAACACCAGGGAACAGAACATTTTAGAATTCAAATATTTCACAATTATACAGTTGTCATATATATGTATATATAGATCATTTTTATGACAAGTTTAGCATTTTTGGTTTGATACTTTTGATCAAAAGTAACCTAATTTTTGGTCAGATCATACTGCACTTTCTTTTATGAAATACTACAAATTTACTTTCACAGTGTATTTATCATAAAAGAGCTTTGACTTCAGTCCCATTTTTAGCACAATTTGGTTCACCATTGACTGTGGGGTCACAGAGCATATAATCCATATAATCTGTGACAATTATGGCATGAGCTGACAATTATCGGAGAAAATGATGAACATAGTATGGCGGAATGATACAGCGCAGAACCTACAAATGACTCCCTGTTGGGGGTCTAATGAAAATGGCTTCCATATCAGAAAGATGAATAGGCCATCAATTCTTTACAATCACATCAGTGCCAGGGTCTGGAGAAGATGGAGGGGGCCATCATTTTAGGCAAATAGCATCTCCATCATGTAGCCATTGATACGAGGAAACTGGCATAGACTTGGCGGAGACGATCCACGATCTGCATCACACTGAAAACAATAGTGAATCCAGTTGACTGAAAAGTTCACAACTCTATTAAGAGACCATAAACAGTTCTTTTTTCTTATAAACATTTCTTATTAACACAATCTCCACTGTGATTGGTCAATGCATAATGGGAGATGAGAAAACCTAATACTTAAAGACTTGGATTAGGACACAATACTGTGCTTAAACACCAGGAACTCCATTCTCCATTTCCAAGAATCCTTAGTCAGACATCAA